AGTGGTCCCGGGTGGCGGCGCGTCTTACTGGTGCTTCTGATGTGTAGCTTGTTTAATTTCCGACCTCTGAGGCGAAGTCTATCTGCCACATTACACCGTACTGTGAACACGCGTTGTTTTTATACAAGTGCTTTTTCGACTTCGTGTTCCGTTTTGCCTGCGATGGATGGTAAAATCGAGTGACGTGTCTGCATCAAGTTTTGCGTGAATCTCGGTAAATCCGCTACCAAATCCCTTGAAATGTTTTCTGAGGCTTTTGGAGAACATTCTTTAAGCCGGACAGCGGGGTTTGGATGGCATTCACGTTTCAAGGCCGGTCGAATGTCAGTTGAAGATGACGAATGTTCAGGGCGACCAAATGCCAGCAGAATAACAGGAAATATAGGAAAAAACTGGAGATCGTTCACCGTGAATTTGTTCCTCCTAACAGTACGGTCAACTCTGACTTTCACTGTGACGTTTTGAGACGCACGAGAGAAAGTGTTGCGACAAAAAGAACAGAAACTTCGGCGCATCCACAACTTGGCTCCTTCATCGTAATAACGCGCCCGCCCACACGTCCCTGAAACCGCAGAGTTTGTGACTAACAACAACATGGTTATCGTTCCCCATCCTCCCTACTCGCCGGACTTAGCCCCCTCTGATTTCGCTCTGTTTCCCAAACTGAAAATGAGACTGAAGAGACGATGTTTTGAAACAGTGTCTGACATCCAAACAGAACCGCAAGCGGCACTCGACAGCATCAAGGAAAATGGCTTCCATGGTGCTTTCGGAGCGTGGAAAATACGGTATTGTCGCTGTATACGTTGCCAAGGAGATTATTTTGATGCAAATGGCAGACAGAATTCAGTAAGTTAAGCCAGCTTTTTTTATATACCTAGTCCTGGAACTTTCCGATAGCACCTCGTATGAAACTTCTTGTACAGCACAGAGAAATCTGTGAAATCCCTTGTCTTGGCCGTTGCACGAGCATTATCAGCACGGCAGATCACTCGGCCTATTGAGATAGCATATCTCGTGGGTGCTCTTGGTTCGAGATAAGAGACGGGAGGGAGATAACCACATAACCTCTCCACGTCGTTATGTCCGAGGTATCTCTGTTAATCCATCGGCAGTGTGTGCTAAGTAGTGGTTATTTTTTGCGCCGAAACGACTCCGCCCCCCTTTTTTTGTGTTGATAATTTGTGGTTGTGTTGCCTTAAATGCCGACCCTCACCAGGTAAGTTGGAACCTCGATGTGGCAGTGAAGCGATGGTTTGTGCTGTGTCTAGAACTTACGTTCCGCCTTCGCTTTTCTCGATCTTTCGTTATATATAATCATTAGGAAGTTAACTAGATTATTAATTGAAACATACGGCGGGAAACAAAAATAGCCATTCCGGCGACCTCGTTCAAAACGCAGGACTGACTGCTCTTCTATGAAGTTGCGTGCTTAAGGTAAGATGTGCCCTCAAAGATGTGTTAATCAAAGACCAACTGTACAGTTGCATATGGACGTGAATGTGCCATATCGGAGTGCTTTTGCATTGTCTCGAGAATACGAAAGTTAAAGGGATGTAAATGTGAAAACGAAATTAATGGGGTAGTTTGGCACGCAGTTTCGTGTTGGTGGAAATAGGCGTGAATAGTGATAGTTTTACTTTTTTTTTTTAAATACAGAATTCACTGAATCTCAATGCTGATATGGTATGTTCCTCCGAAACGTCGGGCTTTCCGACTACACAGCGTTACATCCCAACAGGGTACCGCATTTTTTAACGGAAATGGCCGTGAGAACCTCGAATTATATTAGTTGTTTGTTTCTGCACGTCAGTCCTCTCGCTTCTTCTTCGTGACTTGCACGCGCTCGGCGAATTAATGTTCTCTGTTGCCGGAGCGGCTGTTAAACATGCCGATGTTTGTCTATAACAAACTGCGTGTTTGTGATGCCGTTGTGTCAACCTCTTGCTGTATTATGCTTTAGAAATTGCAAGTCCGTATCAACATTCTGATCTCCTATTGGGCCGCCTCTGTGGTGTCGTGGTCAGAGTTCATGACTACAGATCCAGAGGCCCCGGGTTCAATGGAAAGTACCGTTTCCGGTCTAACGGCCGCGGTAATCCGTTGCGCTGACCACGCGACACTCTCTATCCGCCAAAGTTGGCACTAACTTCGCCGACAAGCTGCGGTCGCTCGGTCGGTATAATTCGCATGAGGAATAAAGCCACTTTGTTTGTTTGATTGCCTGAATCCCTTTGTTCCGGCTACAGCTCGTACACTGAGGCCGCGGAAGGTAGTCCCGCTAATCTACTCCCTCCATATCTCCCTCTAAATTTTGTGTAATTATTTACTATGATCATTTAACGGCGTTGTAAGTAGCCCAGACCGTATATAGGCGTCGATTGGTAGGGTGATTAGCGGATAATGAACTCGAAGGACTGTAGTGGCCTAATTTGAGATGTAGTTTCTGTGTTTTCCTGTAGGGATTGAGAAAGTTATAGAGATCTCAGGCAAGGCGATGCCCCAGCCAGTATTCGAGCCGGGCTCCCCTAGAACGCAGGCAAGAAGCCTTACTGCTATACTTAGCACGCTGGTTGCCTTGAGCTGTTACATGTCCGTGTATTACACGCGTCTAGCCATTCCTGTTCGTAGGAATGCTGGCAGTCTAACCACGTGATAACCTTCGTCAGCTGCAACACTCCTGGGGCTGGTTAACGCATGGGATTGAGCAGAGCTACAAGAGGGCACTGAGGGAAGGGAAGTCCCATCATCCATTTGGCTTGTTTCCGTGGCCGTAATGCAATGGTCCTTTGCGGGGATTTAATTTCTTGCTTTATGATTTGTAATATGTGGGTCGCGCACTCTGGACAGCCCGACAAGCAGTACAGGTATCGTGCTAACTTGTGGTGTGTTCCCAGTTTCTTTATTGTTTCTGTATGAGGTTAATATTGTGGCATCCTGTTGCCATTTTCGCCTAGATTTTTTATAGTCTCACTTCAAAAGTTTAAATTTTAAAGTGAATATCTTTTAATAAATATTGCAGAACGTTAGTGTTGCAGGCGAGACTCTAAGAAACTAATTGACCCTGTGTGAGCCACTTCATCATTTGTGTTATATTTTGTAACATGTGGGTCGCGCACTCAGGGGGTCCCGGTAACTATGACAGGTAGCATGCTAGCATGGTAAAATTTTCTGACTTTTACGGGCCAGCATATTATTCTGCAGGTAACAGAGTAATGCATTTATTAAACGTAACACAGGTTTCGGGTAATGAGGTATATCAGTTAGCTAAGTGACCAACTCACTGATTAACGATACTAATAAACTGACGAATTACCCAGCCGACTAACAAGTTCACTCAGACAGACTGACCAACTAATTAATCAGCCGTGCAACTTACGAAGAAGCAACCAAGTATCGAAATAAGTACCGGCCTACCTACATAATTGAGTTCCAGCTACCAGTCTAACTATCTGCCTACATATAGATGCGAACCTAAACTACTTAATATGCAGTACTGAATCTCACTAACGAGTGCGTAGCACTGCATTCGTTAGTCGCCATAACCCCCCATACTACCCCGTATGTATTCTCCATACTGAAATGGCCGTTAAATAATTTCCCTCCAAAATAAAATAAAAAAAGGCAAAGATGTCCCTGTAACAGGCCGTAGAGGCCCATATGGCTGTGAGACGTCGAGGCTCCCACATTTTCTCTAAACAATCGGCTCACAGATGACAGGTTGTCAGCCTTACGCTTTTACCGCCCTTTACCCCCCAGGAAGATTCATCGTACTCATTACTGTTAAGAGGCTGAGTCGACCCTAGTGCTATAGTGCGGCTGGAAGGATTAGGTCAATTGAAAAAGAAAGATCCAACTCATCGGGACTCGAATTCGCAACCTTGCCGCTTGTAGCATAGTGCCTGAACCAACTACGCCACCGCGTGCCCCCAGTATAATAATAATTAAATAAAAATCGAAGCTATCACGAAGAAGAGAGAGAAGTAAATTATGTGCATTTACAGTGATTGTGCCATTGTGTGGCGACAAAGAAGTGTATACACACCTACACACTGCCTGCAGTTAGCATTGTAATGTGATGGAAGGACCAGTATATAATATGAATACCAAGTACTGTTCCAAATATGTCAAAGTCCGAGAGGCTGGGTTGCCGTCATAGCCGGGCTGGACGCTGTGGGGAAGAGGAAACCTCTGACCCCTTGGTCGTCCAGCCCGTAGTCCGTCGCCATACCGACTGAGCTATCCCGGCTCTGTATGGATGTTAGTGAATTTTAAACGAAGTGAAAGGATTCGGCCTTGGCCTTATTTAAAGCGCTACCCCGGCATTTAGCTGTAGGTTCTTAGCCCATAGAACAGTCGGTATCAGGGATGACATTCGAACTGGGACTTCCCTCCACGAACAGAAGTGAGAAACATAACAGCATGGATGTACACGTGTACCAGCAGGAATGAGATGATTCATAATTCGGGCGGTATGTCCTGAATTATGGTCAGAGTTCCTGGCTACAGATCCAGAGGTTGATTCCCGGCGCTACCAGATTTTCTGAGAAGTAGTGCGTCTGGAACGGGGTCCACTCAGCCTCCTGAGGATAATTGAGGAGCTACTTGCATGGAAAAGTAGCGGTTCCGGTCTAGAAACCCGAAATTAACGGCCGTGGGGATCCGTTACGCTGACCACGCGTCAGCCTCTATCCGCTAAAGTTGGCATTAACTTCGCCGACAAGCGGCGGTCGCTCGGTCGGTATAGTTCGCTTGCGGACTACAGGCCACGGAGTTTTGTTTTTTGTTTGTTAGTAGTGTGTTAAGATGAAATGTGGAACTGGGCACATTCTGCGCTGTCCAGCTGGGTGTAACAGGGCTGCCAACAGAAAGTTATGTTAAGTTCTGCTGTCACGTCTTGCAGTTTCTGTAGTTCTAGCTGAGATATTAAAATTGAGGTGTCAGACTTGGGCACTGGCTCTGAGGTTTAATTGATTAAGAGCATGTTTGTCTGGTTGCAGCCACCCGGCCCAGCGAGGACCCGCGGGAGGGTCTGTTGCCCCTAGCAGCCGGGACTTGCAGGATGTCCCTCAGTCACGTGGCAACTCCCCGCGACCTCCGCCCTCGCCTTTTCACGACAGGTAAGTGACATCAACTGTAAGGACTAGTCTTTCATATGTTCTATTGCAGCCTTTCTCGCTAAAACCGTTTCTCTTCCTGCACCGTTTCCTTTCAGCGAAGCCTAGACTGCTGCTCCCGCTAGTTCCTCTCGCGGTTTTTTTATATCCTGAAGATGGAGGCGAAACGTCGGTTTACACAATATCTACACGGCGCCACATCCCAGAAGACGACATTCTTCATTGACGTACTGAAGTTATTAGGCTTAGGAGACGGACCATTGGTGGCTTCTTGTGAGCACGGTAATGAAACTTCGCAAAACTCGAAGAATTTCTTGTCCATCTGAGCGGCTAACAACATTTCATGGCGTTCTTTAGTTAGTTATTTTAATTTTTTTACTTCATCATAGCCAGATCCATAAATCAAAATGTATAGCTTGTATTTTAAGGAAAATAGTGTTGTACGCATTAGGGGCCTAAACACGAAATCGACCTTGACGTTACTGGTCGGACGGATTTCGTTATTGTTCGGTATTCAGCAGCAGACAGTGGTTTGGCAAGCTTCTGAGGTAACAGTTCAGTTCGAAGTATCCGTGTGCCCCTGTTTAGTTAACACAGGTGGACGCACTGCACCTTGAGGCCATCGGAGTGAAAGTATTACCTCATTACGAGGCTAGGAATTCCCGCCGGGCTCATGGAATTTGCAGTAAGGGCAAGTCAAACAGGTTGCAGTTTGCTGTTTAATTATATGTCAGCAGAGGAGATATTGCTTGCTTACTTATGGAGCTGAGCCCTTCTTTAGGAGAAGCCAAATCTGCAGTTATTCAAGAATTTCCCAGAATTTACCGTGTTCACAAGAGCCCTCCACTGGTCCCTATCCTGCGCCAGATCAATCCAATCCATACCATCCCTACCTATATCTCTAAGATATATTTTAATATTGTCCACCCACCTACGCCTTGGCCTTCCCAGTGGTCTTTTCCTTCTGGCTTTCCCATTAATATCCTATATGCATTCCTTTCTCCCATTCGTGCTACATGCCCTGTCCACCTCATCCTCCTTGACTTGATCATTCTAATTATACTTGGAGAAGAGTACAGAGCAGAGCAGATATACACGTACTTTCATAAAAAGTGCTTTACTCGTGACGTAGAATGTTCTGGCGGTATTACACCGGCGTTCGTTGAAGTGTTCCTTCACAGTCCCTGCTTGTAGCCTCAGTTCTCTTGGTCATCAGATGTTACTGCGTGTTTGGTTAACACTTCCAGCCAGATTGTCCCCTCTTTCAACCGCTTCGAATTATAATTTCTCTTTCACTGCCACAGCCTCATACTCAGTGGATATCGGGGGACCTGTTCCAAGGAGGTAAATATGTCTGCAGCGTCCTGGCTGTACGCCACGCCACGTGTACGCATGCGTGACACTGTGCTTAAGGATATGGAAAGAATCTAATGACTCACAGTTGAAGTCTCAGAGGTATGCGTCATGGCCATTTTAATGTAATACAGGCCTCTCCCAGTGAGAAACTGTGGTACGGCATTGTAGCCCGGAAGAACTCCCCGCTCAAGAAACCTTTTTTTTTATTTCTATTTGGAGACTAATTAAGTTGGCTTTCGACGTTAAAACGATTGGGGTGTGGGTGGCCTACCCTTGGTCAGATCGTCACTAGCTCCTGATATTACAAAGGGGCCTCCCTCGCTGCTCAACTCCACATCTTCCGAGGGCACCGGAAGTGGTCATTGCTGATCCGGAGGCGGATTCTTCTTCTTTTGGGTACAGCTGTCATCTTCAGAACAGTTCTCCCTCTCTCGACGTTTGTTTTGTTCGGGTTGCAGTGTGGCTTCCTTGTTCGNTGGGCACCGGAAGTGGTTATTGCTGATCCGGAGGCGGATTCTTCTTTTGGGTACAGCTGTCATCTTCAGAACAGTTTTCCTTCTCGACGTTTGTTTTGTTCGGGTTGCAGTGTGGCTTCCTTGTTCGGTTGTAGACCGTCTCTTATTTCCTTGTATGTTGATGCATAGAGGCACAGCATACCAGTAAACAGCGCCTGACCATCCATCCATATGTTTGCAGAGGATGTTCCTCTCTGTTTGGGCCCTGTCCGTCAGCTGTTTCCACATGGAGCCATTTCTATTAACTTTGAGCGAAGTATGAAACAACCTTCCCGTATTTGGACTAGAGAAGTTGAAATTCGAACTAAATCTGTTTCCTGCTTTGCGTCTGGATGGTCCACTATTAATATTTAATACATTTCATCGAAGAAGTAGGAATAGCGCAGTCGTTATAGCGGCAGGCTATGGGCTGGGCGACCGAGGGGTTGGAGTTTGAGTCACGGTAGGGTTAAGAATTTTCTCTTCTCCACGTCGTCCAGACAGGCTCTGGGGCCTGCCCTATCCAGTGGGCACCGGGGGATTTTCCCCTGGGGGGATAAAGCGGCCAGGGCGTGAAGCTGACCACTCATCTCTAGCTAGTGCCGAGTTCAAGAAAATGTACATCCATACACCTTCATGGCATAGTGCTTAATTAGTTAAGCACGGGGACAGCTTTACCTTTTTACCCTACCTTTCATCGACAGAAGAGCACAGCCCGCCACCGTGTTTCGTAGCGAGAGCCGTCTTTCGCAACACGCACACCATCTTGAGGTGTCTTCTATACGATTTGAATGAGTGGCACTTCTGAGTGGCTCTAAGCTATTCACACTAACTCTCACTGCTGTAATCTACTGATCTACACCCTCTGCATAGGCAGAGAGAACACCGCCTCCAACAGGTCCTCTCTTGTTGGCCTACTTTCCTTGTGTTTCCTATATCTCGTTCCCAAGCAACGGCTTAGTAAACAGGCTCCCTCTGCAACGAATGTACACTCAACAATATAAGAATTGTTGGTCTCTTCTTCTGTGCAGTCCGTAAATTATAAAGGAAAGTATACTTTTAATTGTTTCCGACGGCACCCGAAACCAAGATTGACTCTGCTGGCGAGACCAGTAGAAATTTACCCGATTGACCGAATGAACTATAGTTATTCCTAGAACTTCTTAATATTATTGGAGACGCAGGGTTGGAACCCGTGACATCTTGAATCCTAGGGTTGTACGCTAATCACTTGATCACCACCACTCATTAATTAAAAGTACAAAACTAGTGAAGGACTGTCACTGCAATCACTTGAGGACGGCTAGCCTATCAACCATCGAAACTTCGTGTTTGGCAAATATATATGAGACAATAGATATCAGCCATCAAAGCGAATGTTTTGTAAGTGAGATTTACCATTGTCATTACGCAATTCCGGGTGACCATAGCAACCAGTGAAGCATTGTGAGGAGAGAAGGAATCATAAATTCTGTACAGAACCTGTTCCATTAAAAAAATAATGCCAGACGAATGAACCTTAGATGCTGTGTGTAGCGCTGTAATGCAGAACATGCCCACACAGTGCAGAATGGCTCCCCTGAATGCAATCCGAATCCCATTTGAGTCCCTTTCACTGCTCACCATACCAAAACCTCATTAATTCCCCCACAGTCCGTTGTGTGGGAAGTACGAAAGAAAATACTCATCCGAATTGTCTTTTGTCTGTTGGACGCTTTAGTAGCGTCTTTTGTTGAAGTACTCCAATAGCTTCATGCGGAAATGGCTGAGATCCTTTGTCGAGTTTGCGGCTCTGCCAGTATTTTGTTTGTTTCCCTTCCATATAATTTCTGTATTTGTCGTACGTTCGGAGTAATTGTCCCAATTGTCATAGCTGACGTGGTTAGACTCCGTGTTCCTACCGCGGAGCGTCTGGTTCAATCCCAGGGGACTTATAGAAACTACTGATTACTATATGTACAGCCTGCTTTAATGGTGTGTATTTGTGTGTTTCACGTGGTTCTCACAGCGAACAGCGCTCGTCTCCATGAACAGCATTAACGGGTTGGTGTCTGTAGCGGAGACGTGATGTGGTTCCTGTAAGACACGAACTGAATTTCTGTGTCATGTAGAAGAAGTACTAACTTTGAAGGGTTTATAGATCTTAGGTATGAAACTTGGTCTCTGACGTTAAGGGAGAAACATAGACTGAGGGTTTGGAGAACAGGGTGTTGAGGAGAATATTTGGACCGAAGAGAGATGAAGTGACAGGAGGTTGGAGAAAACTGCATAATGAGGAGCTTCATAACGTGTACTCTTCTCCAAGTGTAACTAGAATGATCAAGTCAAGGAGGATGAGGTGGGCGGGTCATGTAGCACGAATTGCGGAGACGAGGAATGCATGTAGGATATTGGTGGGAAAGCCAGAAGGACAGAGACCACAGGGAAGACCAAGGCGTAGGTGGGTGGACAATATTAGAATGGATTTTAGAGAGACAGGATGGGATGGTATGGATTGGGCAGATCTGGCTCAGGATAGGGACCAGTGGAGGGCTCTTGTGAACACGGTGATGAACCTTCGGGTTCCATAAAATGCTGGGAAATTCTTGAGTAGCTGCAGAATTGGCGACTCCTCCAGAAGGACTCAGCTCCATAAGTAAGTACGTGACGGTATATTATTCATAAATCACAACCCTGAAAATGTTAAAAGAAATATTTCTTCCAACAAGTTATAATATACGAAGAATTGCATGAATCAGCGTATGTCTTGCAAGAAGATATTTGTATCAGCTGGATGGCCCGCTTTCTTTTCTAAAAACATACATACAGCTTTGTCTTATGAATTCATGCGAGATTTATGGCAGGGGAAGAAGCTTTTCTCCGTTTTTCTCTGGGGTTTCCCTGATTATCGTCACTCAATTGCTCCACGATCATTTATCGACCCCCTGAGTACCAGTGTGGGTTCCACAAGCGACACTTTTCATTGGTCCCCTTCTTCTTCGCGTGGCCATTTCAGACGATATGACAAAATGGCGGCCATGATATACAGTGTCTACAGTTGCAGCTCCCTCACTCAGTAGTGCACTACATCATGGCGATGCACTGTTCTTGCATGGCAGACCTACACATGCGCGCTTGAAATTGGCTACGTGAGATTTCGAGAGTGTCGCTTCT